TGAGAGGATGAGCAACAAATCATCAAAACTTTTGAGCCTTGTTTGTAGCAATGTGATTTGGTTTTGATACAGGAATTTTCTTTAGATGTGTAGATTTTAGGTTGCTGAACTGAGACAGTAAATCATCTTTCAAGAAATTCAAACTAAGTGGTTATCCAAGACCCTAAACAGAGCAGATCTCAAGAATCATGGAGGTAAAAGAACAGAACATAAACTACAAAAGCAATAGTAGCTTCAGTATTTTGTTTATCATGTGCAAACTTACCGAATTAAAGCAATGCGGTCTTGGCACACATTTATTTTACCAGATTTTCTTTTAATCATTTCATGTTTTGTTTAAAATTCTGTGGACTTTTTGAATAATATTTTCTTCTACATTCTAGATCCCAAGTGATTGGTTTTCTTAGATCTGTGTAGATGACAGCTACCAACATTTCTTATGCATTTTACTGTATCTTGATAGCAATCATTATTCTCTTCAGAGAATCATAGAATCATTATGGTTGGAAAAGATCTTCAAGATGATTGAGTCCCAATGTGAGTCCCTCAACAGCATGCTTGCTAAACCATGTCCCCAGGAGCCTCATCTACACCTTCCTTAAACACTGCCAGGRATGATGACTCCACCACCTCCCTGGACAACCTGTTCCAAAGCTTGACTACTCTTTCCATATAGAAATATTTCCTAATATCTAATCCTGATGCAACTTGACACCATTTCCTCTTATCCTAAGCTTTCTACCAAGCTTTTATGTATTTCAAGAATGCTATGCCCTACCACGATCTAGTGTTTCATGGAAGAGACTAAATTGTCTAAATCCTTAACTGTATGTCATGTTTTATAAATCTAAAATCATTCTTGTTTCTCTTTTAGTTGGTCTCTAGTTTGTTCATATGTTCTTTGAGAGTTTAACATTTCTTTATTAACACCAACTTACTATAGGAAATAAAGGTAAATRATAAAAGGATGAAACTGGAAATCAAACCACACAAAAAGGTTTAATGCAAGAGAGACCTACAGTAAAAATACTGCTTGGGCTATTTAATATTTAACACACAATAAGTTGAAGCTGTTTAGAACTGTAAAAGAGTGGACTAGTATGCTCATATTTACCAAGAACATTATTGCGTTGACATTAAGGGATCTTAACATAACAGACAAGTGAATAATCACGAGACTAATTTCTGGTAAGAGGACTGGCCAAAATTTGTGTYTTTAATAAGAAAAAATATCAAAGTTTAAAAGTTTTGTTAATATCACTAAATTCCTTTAAAATATTCCTTCAGAATTCCTTCAAAATATAAAGAGAAAGCTTAAAACTGGAGTAAGATGACTAGGATTTATCTTAAAAATATTATCTTAAAAACAGTCATTTTTGTCTTGCCCTCCAGTCCTTAAAAATAGCTACAAAAATTAGAATTCATCCAGTCTGGGTTTGTATGGGTTATGCCTCCAAGGCCATTAAATTCTTTTTTTTTTTCACCTTCATCTGAACCTTTTAAATATAATTATCTAATTCGTAAATTAAGAAGATATTTTCCTTAGCTGAAAATTCCTGCTGAGTTATTGAACTAAAATTAATTAATGCCATTAATTACATAAASCTGTGATTGCTGTTATACTTCAGGAAACTGAGGTTTGAATTTATTTCATAGAAATTGCATATTTCTAGAAGGTGAGTTGTTTTAAAAAATGGAAGTGCAGAGACACCTGTTAAAAATATGATACCATGGGTAAAAACATGAGAGGCTTCTTTTCAAACTGAGTTACACAAATTCATTCAGCATTATTTATTTATTAGACAGACCAATCCCCCAAAGAAGCAGTTCCAATGAATACTCCCTAGAATGATTCACATTACTTTTTCATTTCARTATATCATATTCTTCTATTTAGACTGTGTTCATAAGATAAAAGCCAGACAACAATTAATTTCCCTCATTAAAATAAAGTGCATATCAGAATGCCCAGTCAACTGAGGAAAAGAGAGAAAGTRCTTTCGGTTTGGGCCAAATGCACCYAGTCAACATTAAAAGACTGATTTTGTGTACTTGCTGTGTAAAACTGTTACATCCTAATGAGCAAAATGTGRACTASTATGGATCAAAGCCAAATATAACTCTTTCTAAGACATGAAAAGTTCACTACACTTTCTTTCTTCTCTTTCTTAAAAAGAGCAGTGAAGCTGGATAATCAAAATAGGTACACAGAGCCATCTATTAGCAAGAGGTTAACAAGGAGAATTTATGGAGAAATGACTGGGCCAGATACAAAAAGAGGAAGCATGAATGGACATTGTCATGATTTGGCTAGAGCTGTCCCAAGCCTCTGAAGTCTTTAATTTAATCTGAATTGAGATTCAAGAAGACAATTGAAAAAGTATTTATTTACAAAATTAAAAAAAAAAAAAAAAAAAGCTTCTGTATATTGAAAAAGAAAAATGGAGCAAAGAGAGATCTAGTCAAGGAATTCCTCCACAGAAATTGCTTAAATTGCTTACCTCCTTTACTGGCAAAGTGACATGCTGATAATGAAGTGAGAGTAGCCAGATGTTTATTAGCAGTTTGTTTCAAGTCAGAAAATGTAATTTCACCACAGAACTTTAGCGTGAAAAAAATGGAATTGCTCAGAAAATGGGTTGCATATCCCAAAAGGAAGAACTGAAAACTGAGMAACTTGGCCTCTTTTTCATTTATTCCCAAGTTTACAAATAAAATCTGAAATATCTGAAAAACATACATAGCATCAAACTACAAAATGGTTCCAAATAAGCAGTAAAAGAAATGTGAGATAACACAAATTCTTATCTTTCTTACTCCATCTCTTCACTTCAGCACCTCTTAGATAAATTAGTTATGTTCCTTTAAACTCAAGGAGCTAATCCTTGGTGACAAGTCAGACTAGAGGCATTCCATCCCTATTAAACATTTTTCATCTTATCCCAGTGGTTCTCTTTCTGTTAAGGTATCTGTTTAAAAAGAGATGACTTTGAAGGGAATATTTGTTACTGCCATTAAGGTGGGGTCACCAGATATTTTAGTGGGGTAAATTTGCTAATCTTTTACTGGTATATTTCCAGAATTAATAAATGATGCCATCCTACTTCTTTACTGACAACAAGAATATAGATGTGAAGATGTCTCTCATTTTTTCCAAACAATCATACTCTGTCAATTGCACCGAAAAAAAGGTTATATCTGCGCTGTGTAAACTCAGTGTGGGGCATGCTGTATGAAATATAATAAAAGGTAACAATAGAATATGCAAAGTAATGTGTCATATGTCATACAGCATAAGTCATTATAATACATCTTTTGTAAAATAATAGACTTAGATTACTTACTTATAATATCCTTTATTCATGCCAGTGATACAGTATTCTCCAGAAACAGTGATGAAACAATACAGAATTCGTTTTCTCAAGCTTGATACTTCCTGAGTAATTTTTATTTAAAACAGAAGCTCATTTTATAAAACATCAGATTATTCACTGACCTAATAAATATCAATCCTTATAATATGAATGAAATGGCTCTTTTGCTGGCTTCAAAAATGTTTATCAAAAAAAGCTTTTCCTCACTTCAAATAAATTGGACCGGATCAAATTTACACTGAGTCATTATATCCAGGTATAAAAGCAGCGCTATCTAAAAATAGACGGGAACCTCTATTGCACTGCAAGATTGAGACTGCTGTATGTTTCCTCTTCTTTGTTTGAATTCAGATTACATTTGAAATAGCAATGATGTGAAGGGAAAGAAAAAGAAAGACAAAAAAAAATCATTGAAGATGAATTCAAAACTGAGAAGCCCCTACAAACCTCCCAAATTCCCGTTCTCCCAGAGTTATTCTGTGTCTTTGAATGATTCTGCAGAAAGTTCTTTATCATTGGCATCAGATAGCTGAGTATTGTGACACCTAAGTTAAACCTATTTATTTTAGCAAGTCTTCAGCTTAGTGGTTTGTAGGTCAAAGGTTTAATTGGGTGAACATGTAGTGTTACTTCTATTTGTATTCACATTATACTAACTTCTGTTGGGTTCAGCTTGTAGGATTTCCTAAGAATTATGGAAGAAGACTTATAAATCAAGGGTGCCTTTCTTCTTAATTTTTCTACACATCTGTAAATTAAATCAACCATGATTTATATAAGCCTGTTTGGTTAATGTGATGAGCAGCATTTCTGACTGTTTCAGGAAAGAAAATATTGCCTGAGATATTCTTAAGTTACTTGTGAGCTGCACATAGTAATTTTTCATAAAATTGATTTTTTCATCTTAATGCTTTTTAAAATTCAAACTGTTAGAAGATCTTTCAAGTCTTCTTCAAGTCAAGTATTTTTATTTTTTTAATCTTGGTAATAAGTCATTATTTGTGGGAGAAATTCTAACTCAGGTAAAAAATATGATATATCTGAAACTTTAGCTTTTCTTTTTTTTTTTTGCTGCCTTTAGGAGTGATGCTATAGATGATTATACATCAAGAAAGAGTATTTACTAACTGACTCAACATTCACTAGTTGATTGAATTTGGCTTTCCAATATTGTCTGGTTCATCTTACCTAAAGAAAACTCACAATTTGAATGGACTTTTGCTTTGCTTTGCTTTTCACTAATAAAACAAACTAAATAACATAGACATCTAAAACTCCATCTGTTCTTGAAATCCACACCCACCCAGGTTTACCTCTGGTTGCCTCAGACTATAACAATTCTAAAATTTTCAGCATTATCTACTAAAATTTATAAGCAGAGCAAAACTAGGGAGACATATAATTTAAAGATTATACTTTTTTATTTTAACGAGTGCTTAAGGGCAGTCTAAATTGTGCTGTGCTGTCCATCAAACAAATACGAGAATGAAACATTCTTCTCACATAACTTTAACTGTATTTTTAATCTGAAATATTTCTGAATCAATTAGATCAATCAATTAGATCTTTATGTAAAGATTTGAATTCCATTGCTTTTTATTTATTTCCTTACTTATTTTTATTCAGATTCACAGTCTAGGAGAGTGAAGTAGAGGAAGACTATCTCTTTGTTTAGAGGTGGATGAATTGCTACCCCTACTGCCTACTACTGTGTTTCGGTGTGAGCTATAAGCAGGCTCAACCAGGTAAGTTTGTATTAATATTTTAAATGATAAAAGTTTTTCCATTCCTCATCTTATCTAATTTTTAGCAACATCTCATCTGCTTTTATTTTCTATTCCTGATGTTCTATTTTTTTGTTAATCTTCATTAAAAAGCTTCCTTATATGTTACCAGATCACAAATGTTCTTTCTGAGCTTTTATCACTGAAGTAACTTATACAATTTTGTCATGAATCAAAGTATTTTTATTCCAAGCACATGAAACGTTTTTCTAAGTCTTCAAATACTTATAAGAGGTATTCATTTACAATATGTGTTCATAGTACCCTCAAATGATGCTTATTCTTTTAAGAACTGAAAACTGAAATGCTAAAAAAATTATGAGCTGAATGTCTGCAGGATATAAATATAAATACCCATATACCCATATATACCCATCTATCTATAGCTATATCTATATGTTTCATTTAAATGACTTATTTTTTTCTAAAAATTTGCCTGAAGTTTAAAAATACTCTTCTAGATGTTCAAAATATTTTTAAAGTGTAGAAGCTTTTACTTAATACGTATTTATTCAAAAAAATTTGTTAGTTGTTATTTTAGAGACCTAGCTTTGATTTTGATTTTGATTTTTTCCCTAGAAAAAAAAACAATAGTGCACTTTACACAGTGCACTTTCCTCTTTGGAGGAAAACCATTTAGAAGCAGTTATGGATGGTAGTCTCTTAAGTTCCAAGAAGAGGAACCAAACCTACTAGCATATCATACACACATACTTCAGCTGATAGTGCACCACTAACAAGCTGTCATTTTATCTTAGATAATAGATAAACTATTAGATAGTTTTTGGAAGAAGGATTCAGATTAGTATTTGAACAGATACAGTTTCAAATTTATACAGATGACAAAATTGGTTTCTAAGCCATGGTAAAATGTAAAGCATTCCTTCTGGCCTAAGGGATTTATTAGAATATGAAATATATCAGCAAAGAAATACATTACAAGAGCTATAAATTTCCTTCAACTCTAGTCCTAGCTGATCTGCTATTTTATATGCATGTGTGCATATATATACATAAATTTTGCTTATAAATGGATAATCTATGTTCCTCATTAAAGGAACTTATTTTGACTATTCCAGTGCCTCATCAATAATGCTTGACTATTGCACTGAATTTTCAAGTATATGAGATGGTAATGATGAAAATGAAGGAAGTAATAATGAAAGATTTTTACCACCTCAAAAAGTGGTTAGTTTCTCTTCCCTGTGGTCACTGGAACAGAGATATCAAAAATATTAACTTATCACTAGAGAAACACAAGGAATATGTCTTTATTCCTCTAGGAGAAGATTTCTTTTAATCTGATATGAACTTACTTGGACCATCTGAGCTCTCCAAACTAAAGGGTAAGTCCACTCAGTTGCGCTTTTGGCAATTGTATCACCTATTCTGACTCAGACTCACCTCCTGTCCTCATGAACTTAATCACCATAACTATATTTTCAAAGCAGATCACGTCTTTTCACTGAATCCCCCAAATCCTACCTGCACTGCATACAGATATGGACATTTTGTCTCCAGTCCGCTGTGTGTCCAGTTCTTTCACTAATTTTGGAAAGGTCTACAATGGCATGTAGGCAAAACCTACATGCCCCTGCATGCATTTTCCTTCTTGTGGTTTAGAAATGGAAAAAGAATTCTCACTGCAGAGCTTAGACTTATTCTCATATTTAATACCAGCTCTTGCCTTAACATCACCACTTTGTATTCGTGTTTCAGACATGGTGAGAGGATTCTTCCTCTTTAACTATGCTTTAGGTTACTTGTGTATTGCTACCTGTCCCCCTTCAAACTTCCTACTGTCCAGAAATTCTCAGATGATATCCATAGAGGATAAGGAAAAAATGTTTGTAATTCTATTATTCAAAAGAGATTACCACTGCAAGTATCTTTCAGAATTGTTTGGAAGACAGGTTTAAGTATTTTAACCTTCATATGTTTTACTATTCTGAAAACTTTGTGTCATGTGTAAGAGGAAATGAATGCAGTATTTGATGGACAGCATTTATCCTTTGCAAGACTGGACCAGTAGTTACTTTTGTTCTCATGCTAGAAAGCCAAAGACAGCAGAATATTACTCCCAAGAGCTAGTGGATTTCTTTCTGTCAGTCTTGTGCCATGGAGCTGAATGCTAGAAGTGAAAATTCTGAATAGTTATCTTTAGAGAAAAGATAAAAGAGAACAATAAAACAATCCCTTTTAATCTATAATTCACCTAAGAAGCCATACAGAATAAAAACTAAATTTCAGTATAATATACTCTGGTGAATAAGAAATTAATAATACTTTTCCAGTCTGTGCTTATTTTGAATTCTGTAAGTGTCTCTTTTAATTCCGAAACGCCTTTAAGCAGCTCTGTCAAAGTGACTGTGCAGTATGTCCTTACATACAGAACAGTTTTACACCATCATATCCTATCTTTAAAACGTCTCATTGAGTTGATGTCTCTAGAAAATTGCTATCTTTATCAGCAATTATGACTTACGTCAAAATAGTGTTTGAGGTAAACATACAGTATTGGATACTACCACAACCTCTCCTCACCTTCTTAAATAAAATTAATTCTGGATTTTCAGTGTTCATTTATGTTAAGCTACATTCCTTTCCTTAGACATGTATGTGTTCTTAGGTACTAAGATTTTACTTGCTGTAGCTGTCAATTTCAGAGCAACTGATCTACAGTCTTAAAAAGTTGTTGGGATACTGTTATTTGAAAATCTGCTTCTCCACAATGAGCCTGACACTGAGCTAAAAATTGCACAACCATCTGTTCAGACTTTCTGTAGTTTCTGTTTCAAGTCCTCCTCTTATTATCATCTGTATTAAAGACAGATATGTAAGTTTAAAAATTAACAGTGTCATTATTTCAGTTTACTGCTGCTTTTGTTTACTGTTCTACTTAAAGGAAACCATGAGCACTCTAATGGATATAATTTCTTCATTTGAAAAAGAAGAACAGTATTTTACTATCTCTATAACACAGGTAGAAGCACCAAAGCAGTAACTCGTCTTTGCCAGAAGTTAGAGAAGTTTCATTAGAGATAAATTTGGCCAATTAATGCAGAGAATTATCCATCACTCCATGGAACATGTGAAAAGGACCAATTATTTTTAGCTATTTCAGTTTAGTGTGTAATTTCTATCACTTGTCTTTCCTGTTTTTGCCTGAATATATGAATAAGTCTTAAATTTTTATTTATTATTTATTTTTAAGTCAAAGGTTACGACTTAAATAAAGTATTTAAAGAATGGAGTCTTAAATAAAGACTTTATTTAAGTCGTAACCTTTGACTTAAAGAGTTTTTTTAATGTGATTATGTTTTTAAGCATGCTAATTGGAAGAAACTTGAGTGGAAGAAACTAAATAAATACTCTAATTAACTATACTATACTGTGTATTTTCATGGTTTAAATTCCTACCATCTCATTGACACCAACATTCCAGTTGTGTTCTAATATTAAATGTTCCCAGAAGAAAATGGATGCTTCAGGCTTAAAATATAACTGTATGTACACTGAATTTCTTTTCTTTTGTCTGCCATTATTCTGGAAAGTGATATTACTAAGATTTCTTGTTGTCAGTTACTTCGTGCTTAAAAAGTGCCTTGTGGAGGTACTTTTGCTTACGCTTCTTGGTGTTTTTCTGGCTGTGAAAAGGATATATTAGCATAAAGGAGTTTCCCTGGTGTAAAAGTTACAGAGAATTTTCTAACTAATGCAAGATTATACTCATGCATTCATGACAAAGTTGTGGCATATGTGAATGCTACTTAAAAAGAATAAGGGTTGGAGTAAATCTTTACTTTGGAGTAAAGATATGTATCCTGTTCACGGCAATGTGTTGTTTTCTATCTAGCAAGTGTCCAATGAGACACTTTTCTCTTAGTGTCTGCTGAAGTCAGTGAGCTTTCAGTTCATCCAGTGTTGTTCTTAATCTCTAATATCCTTGTTTCACTTCATCTCTAATAGCAGAAATCAGTATATTGGGCTTTTCTTTTCTTCCAAATAAGGCTCTAACTGAAACTCTGAATTTTAAATCTCTATAGGAAGAAATTTGAATTAGGAAAATGTTTATTTTTTTACTTAAAATAATTTCTCCATATTCTTCAGGATTTATTTAAAGCCTGCTACATTGTTCCTTTGCTTCAACATTTTGTTGAAGTGTCCTAGTCTTGACCTGACTGGGAGAACAGGCTGCAACTCACTAATTAAATTTGGATGAGCTTTTCCCTCTGATGCAAAAAGAGCAGAATGTCCCACTAAGGGAGTAGAATATCCCATGTTAAGGGAAAAGAAAGATGTCTTGATACCTTGCAGGTAATTATGTCTTGATTACATTGCAGATAATGTAAGTTACGTTACATAACGGTGTGTCTGGACTTTCTGAATGCATAAATGTACATATTCAATAACCTGTGTTTTACTCTAGCTTATGTTTTATTTTACAGCTTTTATTACTGAAAACACAGCCATAGTTTCATTATGCTTCAATGACTTTTGAAATACTAATACAAAAGAAATATAGTGTAGATTTTATGTGCAGTGCCTTGCTCATAGTATTGTAAATCAGTTGAAAGCAGGTAGAAAACCAGTATCCTGGGATCTCTTTTTATTGCAAAAGTATTTTGTTTGTGTTTTTTTGTTTTCCATTTGAAATCTCAGATATGCTGCATAGATTATGAATTGAGATTAAGGATGATTCAGTATTCCTTCAGAAGAATAGGTTTATAAATTCAGAAGTTTGTGCTAGAACAACTTTCCCAACAGAGTTCTTCCACCTAGAGGAAATCCTGAGAAGTAGTCAATATCAGTAATCACAGTTATCAATCTTTTTCTGCAAGAACAATAAACCAGTCTGTGTTGTTCTTACAGGCAGAAAGGCGACCTTCATATGTCTTTGTTTTCAGATGATTCTCTGTGGGAAAAAATAGCAACTCTGACATCATAAGATCTTTTTAGTGGCTGCTCAATGTAATCTAAGATTTTTTCTTTTTTTAAAAAAAGAGAGAAATCTGGCAACATCTGCTCTGTAACACAAAAGAGAAAAAAGTTCTTCTCAATTATCTTATTTCACTGATTAATAATTCCAATAATATTTAACTGCTTGATGTTTTAAGTGAAAAAAAATGGATGAGTTGAGATAATGATGCCTATTTTATCCAGTATTATTTATATAAGAACAGAGAGGAAAAATGCACTCCTGGTAACCAATCAAGCGTATGTAAATGGCTCAGTTAATGATGTTTTGAATCTGCTAGATTTTTTGCTGATTCACAGTTTCTTTGATCAGTCACTATTGCTGGTGTGAAATACCTGTGTATTCTGTTAAGCCTTGCAACAATTAAGCTTTTAGTCTGTGGACGAGGTTGCTTGTTGTTTATTCCTTCTGAATTTCTTTCCATTYCTGCGTCAGTGCCCATTGTTTTGATAAAAGAGAAGGAAGTGATCTAAAAGGCTGCCGTTTTCCTATGTTAATCACCACATCAAACAGGCCACACTTCTTTATGTACTAGCTGTATCTGTCTTTCTTCACCTCTTTAGTAAACTCACTTAAAACAAACCTGGAAACAATATATGCAAACAATTCCTGATGGAATTCTAACTTACTGATGCATAATACATCATGTGTTATACATGTAGGTTCAATATGTATTTGTAATAGGAAATTGTATTGAGTGTTCAAAGTATAGAAATGCCTCTGAAATAGACAGACATTTAAATTTGAATGATACTTTAATGATATTGTATCTCATGTCATGTCATGTCATGTCATAATTATGATATTATATTTCATTGTAAGATATACGCATTAAAGTTGCTTTAACCCTTCTTTTCATTTATATTCCTTAATTTCCTAAGGATACCTGTAATTTTAATAAGTTTAAAGAGATGACTAAGAAAAAAATATGTATTTTTTCATATAGCTTTACTATGCTTATTTTTTTTAATGGGATATTTAGGTTTGGCAAATATTAAGCTCCTATTGCTGTTTTCTTAAAGACAGTGAGAACGCCAGAGCAACTTGCTTCACTTGCTAACTCAAGTGAACAAATTAATGTGATGGGACATTCTAGGGACATACATTTGGAATAGTAGTTTGTTGTGCTCTAAATATTGTTGTTTTTATGCTCAGAAAGAATTTTGAAACTGTCTGGGTAAAAAGACAGTTGGCTAATTTGAGTAAGCTAGAAAAATAAATAAGTAAAAAGCTATCTGTCCCCTCCCTAAGCCCCCAACTAATTGGCATTATGAATTTTTAAGAAACATTTGTTCTAAAATAATGTCACTTTATTTTTCCTTCAGGAAGTTGAGAAACTTCTTTGAGCATCTAAGATGAAACACTGTGATGCCTGGTTTTATTCCTGGCATTAATTAGAAATTGCTATAACTGGGATTGCTACCATCTGATACCTTCTGCTGCAGTTTCT